GAGGAGGCGTCATCTTGCCTGATTTGCTAAGAGGATTAAAAATCAACCGCCAACAAAGCTCTTAAATAAATAGCGCTGGGAGCCGCAGCGGGAACCTGCTAGGGTTGCACAATAAAAGCTGATTATTAGATGCCACGTACGCCGCCCGGGGCTCCGGATTCTGCATTCCCTGCGCTCAGAGGCCTGCTGTCTGCAGCCGGGCAGAGGCTGCAAGCCTCACAGGGCTCTGGGGGGAGGGAGGCCTCTGCACTGGGCAGACCCTCCGGACCCCTCATCTCTGAGTTCATGGTCCCATTAGAGAGGTCTGTGCGCACACCATGTAGCTGAATTGCCTCCCAGAAAGGTGGTGAGCCCCACCCCTGGGGGCACGCAAGGACAGGGAGGATCGGAGGAGATTCACACGTCACGTGGTGACTCACAGCACCTACTGTGCGCCGGGCTCTGGGCCCAGCCCGCCAGGGAAGAAACAGACCACACCCCCGCCCTGTGAGGCTCAGAGCCTGGTGCAGATGGACAGAAAGCATCGGGTCAAAAGGCGGTGTGAGCGTCTAGGGGGGACCCCAGAGTGCACTGCTGAGGCTAAGGAAGGGGGCTGCCTGGGCAAGGTGGTCAGGGAAGGCAGCTCAGGGCTGGTGGGCCGTCTAGGCCACACGAAGGTGAGGGAACAGGATTTGGGGTAGCGGGCCCAGCATGTGCAAGGGGCCTGGGTGGGAAGACCAGTCTGGCTGGAGCACAGAGGATGAGAAGGCGTTCGGGGTGGGAGGGCCAGATGGCACGGGCACTCGTGGGTCAGGGTAAGTGTTGGGGAGCCATCGAGGGCGTCCCGCTGAGGACAGGCAGGGCAGACTTATCAAGGTTATGTGCACATCAAGGAGGAGGGAGGGGAGGATGGAAGCGGAGTCCAGCGTTGCCAGGTGAGTAGGAGCAATGCCGACTGGGGGACACGTCCAGGTCGAGCTAAAGACGCATCTGTGGATGCGAGCTGAATAATAAGAAGTGGAGGGTCAAAGGTGACAGGCTTCCAACCTAAACCCCCCAGGTGGTCCTCGCGGCCCAGGACATGGCCAGCTGAGGCACAGGGCTCAGCTCAGAAGAGACAGCGGGACTGGGACCGGGCGAGGGTGGCGGGACTTCTGTTCGGGAAAGCTGGGGATGGGCACAGCCTTAGCCATTCTGGCTGGGCCCTCGGAGGGCAGAGGGGACACTGCCCCAGACCCAGGCCTGACCCTGACTCCAGGCCTCGGGGACCCCGCTGCCCCCCAGCTGCAGATGAAAGCCTGGGACCCGGAGACTGTGGCTTTCAAAGCCTGTCAGACTAGAGGCCAGGCCTGGCTCGGGCACTTCCTGGCCGACTGACCTCAGACGAGTCGCTGGCCCTGCCCCTCCTCCCTGGGCACGTCTGTGGTGCACGCAGGGCCAGGTTCAGAGCAAATGAGACAGCGCCGGCCGAGGCCTGGCCGCAGGGGGACTCACAGGCCGGGTGGTGCGAGCGGGACCCTGTGGGGACACCTGCGAGCCGCCCTCCTGCAGCGAGGCCTCGCCTCCCTCTCCTCCGGCCCCAGCCACCCCACCTGCCTCCGCACTGCTGCTGTCCCTCTCCGCCTCCCCATCCTTTAATCCTTTACCTGGGGCGCCCACTCACCTCCTCGGCTCGGCCCGGAGGCACCCCGACTTCGGAGGAAACGGCTGGTGGGCGCACAGCCGTAGGGTGCCACTAGTGCGTGAAATAACCAGCGGCCCGCTGATGCGAGAATTCCCGCGCACGCTGCCGTCACCCCCGCTACAGACGAGGGAGCTGCGGCTAAGGAGCTGCTCGGAGGCCGTGGCTGAGGAAGCGGCACCCAGGATGCCCCTGCCGGGATGTCCCCGCTGAGCCACCTCAGGGCCCGTCTGTGGTCACCAGGCGGGTCCCCTCTCCCCACCCTCCGTGCGTCTTCCCGCGCTCTCAGTGTCTTCGGGGCACAGACAGGGTGCCTCATGGAGGGGCCCTTGTCGCCCCCCAGGGCGGCTGCACACAGAGCAGGGACTTCACACAGGCAGACCCAGCCCATCAAGAGTGAGACTTTCAAAATGCCCGGGCACCTGCGCCCCGCCTGCCTGCCCGGCCCTGGAGTCTTATCTAATAGTGTCCACTCGGGGGGCGAGGGTAGGAGGGGCCCCCAAGCACACAACCAAGCCGCATGGGCGGGCGCCCGCCCGGAGCCCTCCACCTCAGACCCAGCAGTGGAGCCTTCGGGGGGGCCCGTCAGTACCCAGCCTCAGAGCAGACGGGCCGCCCGAGGGTGCAGCGGGCACCCATCACATGACAGCATCCACCTCCAGACACCCGGGCACCACGCTCTCACCCCCTGACCGGGGCACCGGCTAAGCCCAAGTCTGACGCATTGCCCTCACTTCCCTCAGGGCCCCACAGTGAGTCTCCCCAATAATCAGTACGTGCCAGCTGATGCTTCCCAGACTGGGCTCCCCGGAACCCCGGCGTGCCCGGAGAGCCGGGCTCCCACCCGGGAAGGAGAGCGCTCTGTGCAATTCTCTTGGGAAACGCTGAGCTTTGTCATTCCTGTGTGTGTGCACGTGTGTGTGCATGTGCACGCGTGTGTGCACGCTCTTACTGCAGGCTTTCTCAGAACCCCTGACGGCTCCAGTGTCCACGTTCCCACACTTCCGGGCCGCGGACACTAACTCTCAGAACACCAGGCCCGGGAAGCCGGTCTACAGGGTGAAGTCTGTGCCCGATGCTGCGGCCATGGGTCGTCCCATCCTCGCCAGCCTGCCCAGCCTGGTGTCACACACATGGGCACACACAGCCAACGTGCCCGCAGGTACACACACATCCCCGGCTGCTCAGAGCTGTGTGGCCTCCCCACGTGTCCTCGCACAGCCGGCCTCCCTGAGCTGGTTACACCAGCCCCTCGTCCGGGCGGCCTCTCCGTCCGGCTGCCTGGGGGGCGCCCTCAGCTGAGAAGTCCCCATCCCTGAAGGCTCCCAGCACCCCGGCAGCGGTGCCCTGGGGGTCTCCCGCTGAGGCCACAGGGGCCTGGTCCATGAACGTGAGTCCCAACGCAGGGTCTGTGAAACCCTGCTGACCCAGCGCCGGAGCCGGCCTTCCCTCGCGGGGCTACGCCGATAAGGGGACAGCGGGGTTTTCTAGCCTTTTCTCCCTGCCAAGGGGCAACCCGGGTGGCAAGAATCAACCTAGGCCAGTGATGGCGAACCTTTTGAGCTCGGCGTGTCAGCATTTTGAAAAACCCTAACTTAACTCTGGTGCCGTGTCACATATAGAAATTTTTTGATATTTGCAACCATAGTAAAACAAAGACTTATATTTTTGACATTTATTTTATATATTTAAATATCATTTAACAAAGAAAAATCAACCAAAAAAATGAGTTCGCGTGTCACCTCTGACACGCGTGTCATAGGTTCGCCATCACTGACCTAGGCCCTAGCCAGTTTGGCTCAGTGGATAGAGCGTCGGTCTGTGGACTGGAGGGTCTCGGGTTTGATTCCGGTGGAGGGCACGTACCTCGGCTGCCAGTTCCCCCCTGGCCCAGGCCCTGGTTGGGGCGCGGGCGTGTGGCAGGCAATCGATGTGTTTCTCTCACATCGACGTTTCTGTCTTTCCCTCTCTTCCAAAATCAATGGGAAATATCCTCGGGTGAGGATTTAAAAAAAAGAAGCATCAGCAGCAGCCCAGGGCCAACGCCAGGTCAGGCTCCAGGGCTCCAAGGGACTGAGGAATCCCAGGCGGCCTCTCCCAGGGAGCCCCACGCAGCGGGACCCCACGCGGGGCAGACACGCATTTTAAGTGCAGCGAAAAGGAAAGAAAACGCTGCATGTTGCTCCAGGCACCCAGCCTGAGGCTTGAGGCCAGGAGAGATCGCTTGCCCCCCCCCCTCAACATCCCCCCCAGAGCAGGGTCGCGCAGCCGCGGAAATGGACCTCGGAGGCTGCAGTGACCCCTCTGGGCCTCAGTTTCCCCAGGAGAAGCCTCCGCGTCCCCTCCCCCACCGGCCTGCCCCAGCCCGCGCACTTACCCAAGGGGCAGGCCCCCTTCTGCAGCTGGCGCACGGGCGACCCAG